TTCAGATGGGTTCACAGCCGAATTCTACCAGACACACAAAGAGGAACTGGTACCATTCCTTCTGAAACTATTCCAAATAATCCAAAAAGAGGGAATCCTTCCCAAATCATTTTATGAGACCAACATCATTCTGATACCAAAACCCAGCAGAGACTCAACAAGAAAAAAAACTTCAGGCCAATATCCATGATGAACATAGACGCAAAAATCTTCAGTAAAATACTGGCAAGCCGATTGCAACAGCACATCAAAAAAGCTTATCCACCATGATCAAGTAGGATACATCCCGGGGATGCAAGGCTGGTTCAACATACGCAAGTCTATCAACGTAATTCACCACATAAACAGAACCAAAAACAAAAACCACATGATTATCTCAATTGATGCAGAGAAGGCATTTGACAAAATTCAACAGCCCTTTATGCTAAAAACTCTCAATAAACTCGGTATCGATGGAACGTATCTCAAAGTAATAAAAGCTATTTATGACAAACCAACAGCCAATATCATACTGAATGGGCAAAAACTGGAAGCATTCCCTTTGAAATCCGGCACTAGACAAGGATGCCCTCTTTCAACACTCCTATTCAATATAGTACTGGAAGTTCTAGCCAGAGCAATCAGGCAAGAAAAAGAAATAAAGCGTATTCAAATAGGAAAGGAGGAAGCCAAATTGTCTCTATTTGCAGATGACATGATAGTATATCTAGCAGACCCCATCATCTCAGCCCAAAATATCCTGAAACTGATAAGCCACTTCAGCAAAGTCTCAGGATACAAAATCAATTTGCAAAAATCACAAGCATTCCTACACACCAATAACAGACTAAAAGAGAGCCAAAACAAGAATGAACTGCCATTCGCAATTGCTACAAAGAGAATAAAATACCTAGGAATACAACTAACAAGGAATGTAAAGGACCTCTTCAAGGAGAACTACAAACCACTGCTCAACAAAATAGGAGAGGTCATAAACAGATGGAGAAACATTTATGTTCATGGTTAGGAAGAATCAATATCATGAAAATGGCCATACTGCCCAACATAATTTACAGATTCAATGCTATCCCCATCAAGCTACCAATGACCTTCTTCATAGAACTGGAAAAAACCACCTTAAACTTTATATGGAACCAAAACAGGGCACGCATAGCCAAGTCAATTCTATGCAAAAAGAACACAGCGAGGGGCATCACACTACCGGACTTCAAACTATACTACAAGACTACAGTAATTAAAACAGCATGGTACTGGTACCAAAACAGATATATAGAGCAATGGAACAAAACAGAGGCATTGGAGGCAACACCACATATCTACAACCATACAATCTTTGACAAACCTGACAAAAACAAGCAATGGGGAAAGGATTCGCTGTTTAATAAATGGTGTTGGGAAAACTGGCTAGCCATGTGCAGAAAGCAGAAACTGCACCCCTTCCTCACACCTTACACTAAAATTAACTCCAGATGGATTAAAGACTTAAACATAAGACCTGGTACCATAAAAACCCTAGAAGAAAATCTAGGTAAAACCTTTCAGGACATAGGAGTAGGCATGGACTTCATGACCAAAACACCAAAAGCATTGGCAACAAAAGCCAAAATAGACAAATGGGACCTAATCAAACGCCACAGCTTCTGCATGGGAAAAGAAACAGTCATTAGAGTAAATTGGCAACCAACAGAATGGGAAAAAATTTTTGCAGTTTACCCATCAGGGAAAGGGCTGATATCCAGAATTTATAAAGAACTAAAACAGATTTACAAGAAAAAAAAAAACAAGCCCATTCAAAAATGGGCAAAGGATATGAACAGACACTTTACAAAAGAAGACATACATGAGGCCAACAAACATATGAAAAAATCCTCATCATTACTGGTCATTAGAGAAATGAAAATCAAAACCACATTGAGATACCATCTCACACAAGTTAGAATGGCGATCATTAAAAAATCTGAAGACAACAGATGCTGGAGAGGATGTGGAGAAATAGGAACACTTTTACACTGTTGGTGGGAGTGTAAATTAGTTTAACCATTGTGAAAGACAGTGTGGCAATTCCTCAAGGACCTAGAAATAGAAATTCCATTTGACCCAGCAATCCCATTACTGGGTATATATCCGAAGGATTATAAATTGTTCTATTATAAGGATACATGCACATGAATGTTCATTGCAGCACTGTTTACAATAGCAAAGACCTGGAATCAACCCAAATGTCCATTGATGATAGACTGGACAGGGAAAATGTGGCACATATATACCATGGAATATTATGCAGCAATCAAAAACGATGAGTTTGTATCCTTTGTAGGGACATGGATGAACCTGGAGAACATCATTCTCAGCAAACTGACACAAGAACAGAAAATGAAATACCGCATATTCTCACTCATAGGCGGGTGTTGAACAATGAGAACACCTGGGCACAGGAAGAGGAGCACTACACACTGTGATCTGTTGGGGGGAATAGGGGAGGGACAGTGAGGGGTGGGGAGTTGGGGAGAGATAGCATGGGGAGAAATGCCAGATATTGGTGAAGTGGAAGAAGGCAGCAAATCACACTGCCACGTGTGTACCTATGAAACTATCTTGCATGTTCTTCACATGTACCCCAAAACCTAAAATGCGATAAAAAAAATCATTATCTCTCATTCTAACATTCTCTCCTTGAACTATGCTTCTTTTTCCTCCATATTATTTTCTAATATACTGTGTAATTATCTCAATAATACTATTTATTTTATTTTCACATAATGGTGAAGGCAGGAGTTTTGGAATTTTTTTTTTAACAGTTCCTCTTTGTATGTCTGGTAGAATTCAGTTGTTGGAATTGTTTTCTACAATAGGATCTGAAATAGTGTTTAAGTATACACCAGGCATTCAGCAACTATTTGTGGAATAAGTAAATGCTAATTAAATTTCTTGTGCTCTACATAAAATTCAACTTAAATATCTCTAATAAACTCTGCAGGTACAAATATTTGATGAGCAGAGAATGATTTCTTCTTCTTCAAAATAGATATCGTCTTATGGTAAAACTTATCACTGCGGCTATTATGACAATCCCTTTTACTACTTAACTACTTAATTATTCCTCAGGAAGCTTTGACAATACATGAACACAACAGAAAAAAGCAAAGATAAAATCTACTACACTTTGACTATTCTTTAGGGGATAGTAAGAACTGGCTTTTGATTATGAAAATTCAGAATGAGATCCTCTTTTAAACAAATGCTATCAAATAATTACAAGAGAGACAGAGCTCCACCTCCCAAAAGGCTATGATGCATGTAAACAGACATATATAATACACTCACCCATGCTTGCATTTTGACCATTAACATATGCCTTAAAGGTGGGAGAAATCTTTTAGGGTTTACTTTTTGCAACCCATGAGAGATTACAAACAGGATCATGCAATTTCTTGGAAGTTCTTCACTTGTCTTTGGCACTGTGGAAAAATATTTTATCTCCTGTCCCTGACCTTCTCAGCATTCATTCAAAGAGCAAGTGGGAAGTACATAACATGTGAGTCACCCAGGTTTTTTTTGCAAAAAATAATAGAAAATGTTTTCTTCTTGTCATTGAGAAATCTAAAAGTATATCTCAGAATGAAATGCTGGCAAAGAATGAAGCTGAAAAATATACATTTTTCTTGTTTCCCTAAATTCTGGGGGATATTTTCCATTTATGGTTCATATCCCTTTAAAATACGAATAGCCACATATACAAAAAGTATAGAATTTCAAGTGAAGATGTATACTAACTGATGAATTGCTGGAGACGGATATATTTTGGTCATTTTTGTTGCTTGGTGAGTAGAAGAAATATGGCATATTTCTCTTTCCAGTGATTTTTTTCTTAAGCCCAAATACTGTTTTTTTAGTTCCATTACATTAATAAGACTTGGTTTTATACAAATTAGTTATTATTTGAGAAACAAAAATCTTCATCTGGTATGACTTTTTCTTGTTTTTGTTGTTGTTATGTGGGCTAGAAGTTAACCAGAGAGTAATCAGGGGAAAAGTTTTACATTTCATATCTGCCTCGATAGGAGAGGCCTCAGAGAACCACCACAGTGAGATGCAAAATGATAACAAGAGTCAAAGGAAGAAAAAGGAACATGTGGAAGAAAGCAGTGAATAAAAAACATGGAAACTTTCATAATATAAACTTGATCTGCGTTTCTTATTTTTCTGCAGCTGACCTGACCATGGTTAACAAATAACAAGCACATTGAACTTGGCCACAGTCACTCAGACCAGCTGTTCTCCCTAAGGTCAATGCCATAATGGGCATAGGTAGTTCATATATTCACCTGGAAGCATATAAAAATATTTAGTCAGAGCAATTTAAGGGCCAAAGTATGGCATACTTCCTCACAGCATATAGGGTATCCAACTGCCTAAAAAATAAAAGAATGTATTTTTATGCTAAACACTGGTACAGATACATGAAACAGCATAAAAGACCATGTATCTTCTAATGACAGAGGTCGTTTTTATTACCACTTTAAAACGCCACAAGTAACTTGGAGTAGCTGAAATTGAAAGTAAATATTAATTTGTGTCCTGGCATGACACTACATTGAGAAAGAGTATTTTTAAGTATCTTGAGTTTGTATTTTATTTTTATATCATAACAAATCATAATGAATTAGGTATTCATAGTACTGTTGAAAGAACTTCATACCCAGATAATATCAATAATGCAGGTAAACAGAAGAAAGAGTAGGCTAATTGTATACAGGTAATTGATTGGAATTACAAAACTTTGCATTCCTGGTTTCAAGTCTAGTGTTCTTAGCAAGAAAAAGAAATTCTCCACAATTCATATTTTCCCTGCTGTCTATTGTTGTGATTTAATAAAATAAATCTGTTTAGGAGTTGAGTCATGAAAGTCATAGATTTGTTGTTTAAACAAAAGTCTAATTGTTTACTACTTTATAATATACATGGTAAAAATTTTTGGTGTTTCCAGAGTGCGACATTTCATGTTTCAGTGACCTCTGTCATCTCCATGTCTTCCAGACTAATGAATGTGTCCAGCATAGAAACTATCAACTTTGTTAGCTACTTTATCCTCATGGGTTTTCCCTCAAGTCCAGCAATGCAGCTCCTCTACTTCAGTCTCTTCTCAGTAGCCTATATTCTCACCCTGATGGGAAATGCGGCCATTGTCTGTTCTGTATGGTGGGACCAGCGCCTTCACACTCCCATGTATATTCTCTTGGGAAATTTCTCTCTCCTGGAAATATGTTATGTTACCACAACTGTTCCTAAAACGTTGGCCAACTTCCTCTCCACAAGCAAGTCCATCTCATTCATGAGTTGTTTTGCACAGTTCTACTTCTTTTTCTCTTTTGGGTACGATGAGGGCTTCTTTCTTTGTATCATGGCCTTTGACAGGTATCTTGCCATCTACCGCCCTCTACATTATCCACGCATCATGACTAAACAAGTATGCACTGGCTTCATTGTCTTTGCATGGTCCTGTGGGTTTGTAATCTTCCTAACTCCAGTTATTCTCATTTCACAGCTATCCTACTGTGGCCCAAATATTATCAACCATTTTGTCTGTGATCCTGTCCCACTGATGATGCTGTCCTGTTCTGAAGACATTATCACCCAGCTCATTTACTCCACATTCAATTCTGTCTTCATGATTGGCACCTTTCTCTTTATCCTTTGTTCCTATGCTCTGGTGATTCTGGCTGTAATGCAGGTGCCCTCAGAGGCTGGCAAACAAAAGGCTTTCTCCACTTGTACTTCTCATTTGGCAGTTGTCACCTTGTTTTATGGCTCTATCATGATGATGTATGTTAGTCCTGGATCAGGACACCCAGTAAAAATGCAAAAAATCATTACCTTGTTTTATTCTGTGATAACACCTCTCTGCAATCCTCTGATATATAGTCTCAGGAACAAAGAGATGAAAGATTCTCTGAAGAAAATCTTCAGGACTGGAAAATGTGTTAATAAAATATAAATGAGATAATTTCCATTTATCAAATATAACTTTAATTAGTCATGAATATTTGTCTACAAATTCATTGTTTTATTTAAGAACTGCTATAATAATAACTCATTAACATCTTAAACACCACTTACCACAATTTGTAATACTGTGGTCTTATTTAAGAAGAGTGTTTCAACAATGAATTAGAGTTTGTGTTGAAATGAATAGAAGTATGTAAAATTCTATGTCTAAGCTAGTCAGAACCTCTATATGTATTTCAACTTTTTAAAAAGAATACATATATCCTTTTTGTATTACTGAGTTAAGGTAATTGATAACACATGTAACAGATAATATAGACTGCTCTCACAATTAACACCGTAATCCAGTAATTGTGCAGTAGGAGATATTGGCTGCAAAAAAGATATGGTTTAAGAAGTCCAGCTTGTCAAAATGTAGCAAGTGGTCCTTACATTGTGGAAATAAACTAATAACCTTAGTTTGATATTTAGTGTTTTTTCAGAGTACACAAAACTAGAATTATGAATTTAAAGCAGATTAGTTACCTGGGATATAGTACAGATAAGACCTAAACAAAAAGGTGAGCACTACTCAGGATACAGCTTGCTTTGTTGTAAACCCAGTTTAAACAGAGGTTTTGATATCATAATTAGTTTAGCATTAATACTGTGTGACTTATTTGAGTACTGCTGGGCAGTACTAAATAAAATTCTTAAAATCCATTTTATAAATATTTGACTAACATATTGCTTCGATTTTGATTTCTGTTTTGTTCTATGGTCATTTTTTTTTCAAATACAAATTTCAAAAACATAATGAAAAGAAATCACGATATGAAATGTAATTTACAGAACTTTAATTTGTAAGCCCTCATAGTGCAGTTAGTTTTTGTGTCATAAAGAACCTGAGTTGTGAATATTTTCTGGATTTGAAAGGCAGGATTTATGTGAGTTCTGGGGAAAAGGGTGGCTGTTTTATTATACTTCACATGTGCAATGTAAATTAAATAGCTAAATACTTGCCAGGAAAACTCTTTTATATAGGAAGAAAGTATGAGCAACTTAGAACTTAATTCAAACTTCAATGGTGGGCTCTCTTTAAAGTGCTGATAAATTTAACACAAGTTTCACCTGTCCATGCCAGTTTCATCTTTCTTAATTACATGAGAAATAAAAGGGATAGAAATTCTTTTTTTTTTTAAGCTGGAGAACTTTTATTCTTGCAGTTTTATACTAGGAAGTCAACATTTAATTTAATGACATCGTCCACAATTTATTAAAAATGTTTAAACCTTCAATTGTACATCAATATCCTATGACTCCAAATTTTATTTATCACTCTCCTTCATGTCTGAAGAAAATAATTAATTTGCTAAGTTCCACAGACAATACGTCCCACTGACATACACTTAGTATGATGTCCCACTCTCATATTAGAATTAAGGACAGCCAGTATCAAACTGGCCTGAAACCTGATTGTGTTCCTGGCTCAGAATACCTATAGCAAATTTGTAAATCCACACCAAGGCACAAAATTAAACTAGGGTGTGTATATCTTATAAAAAAACTTTTCCCGGTAAAAATCAACATTAAAATGTTATCAAATTCCAACATTATGGTTTTTTAATCCAATTAAGCTTTCAAAATACCTGATTAGCTGTGAATTAATTATAAATAACTTCATGTATCTTGCCCAGCATTTCAAAATGGTTATGGAATACAGCTTTTAAAATGTCGAAGTATGCTCTATTATATATTACACTTTTCTGCTAGGCTGGGCAAGTATCTTCCATGGCAAGATCCTCAAACTATTGAATAAAATACACTTTTAAATCAATATAGGTACTTGATTAATTTCCCTGAAATTATCAACATGGTTACCAAAATCTTCCAGGATTTTGTAAGATTTGATTCCTTAAATACAGTTTTAAAGTTAAATTTATGGAGGGGGAAAAAAACCCTCATATACTGACTATAAATTTTATGTCCTTTTTTGGTCCCTCAATGGCTAAAGAGAATTTTAAACAAATTATGCTTCATGTTTCCTGACTTAATAAAAAGCTACAATTTCTATAATCCAAATTAAGAATTATACTAATCAAAAGCTATTAATTTTGAAACATCTATGTATGGCTGTCTGTAGGTCCCCTTAGAACCTTTCCAAACATTTATAATCAAGAGATTTTAATGAATTATGTACTAGAATCATATTAAAGAAAAACTTATTTTGCAAAAATAAAATTACTTTCCAATATGCTTGACAGAAACAAGCTATTTATTTTCATTTGTGTTCCATTGAAGACATACTGAAATCTGTCCGATGGTTTATTTCCAAGTGGTCCACTATGGAATTCTTCAGAATGTTTTAAGATTGGCTGTAGCTAGAGTTCTGACTTCCATTTGGACCCTGCTCTCCTTCACTGTTTGGAGATGGTTTTGGTTTTGGTGTCTTACTAAGAATAGTTGCCATCTCTTCTTTCATCGAAATTCTTCCACTATTCATATAGTTTTAAAATAACCCTGATTATTTCCAAAATCTTTTCCATATCCACAGAAAGCTCAGCAAACCATTGCCTGGCATCTTTCTGCTGTACAACACAGGCTACATGTAGGCAAGCTAAAGCTATCATGAAAGGACGATACAGTAGGCAGAGATGCACTCTGTAGGTATCATGCACTATCCTCCATGCAAGGGGAAGCAACATGTCTTCTTGGCCCACGTCCTGCACATGCTGGAGCAAAGGACTAAGGATGATACACTATCAAGCAACAATCCTTTAGTTCTAACAGGTGGAATTCACATTCTAATATAGGATTCATCCTATAAGGCAACTTCTTTGGAAAGGCATATGAAAATCTAGTTTTTAATACAGAAGTAGCAGCAGCAGTCAATCTTGTATTTGAAAAGATTCCAAATTCCTCAACTTTGGATGCCAAAAACACACATGTAGGAGCTATTAATACAGGCTCTATACTTTTCAGAGAATACCTGGTATAGAATCTCTTGGAAATATACCATAGCAGTGGCAATAACTTGTTGTCTTCATTTAAGATGTTCACCCAATGTTTAGATAACATTTGTAAAAAATATTTGTAACTTCCAATATTCTTCTTCTGAGAGAGACTTTAAATCCTTTTGGCTCTCCTTCAACAGATCTTGTTTATCCAAAATCCATTGCAAATAGTAGGAGCTCTGCCAAAAGTTCCCTGCCATGGAACACAGCTTGCCCTGATTTAAAAAAAAAAAAAAAAAAAAAGCACCAGCCGGCGGAGCAGCCCACGGAGCAACCATAAACCCAACCCATCCGGTAACCGCACTCCTCAATCAAATCCAAGGATAGAAATTCTTAATAAAATACAATGTCGATTATTATAAACATGCACAGGGCCCATATTTGTAAATGTCTTCAAGTTCATCATTACTCAATTTTATCTTATCAATATTAAATACTATCTCATACTGAGCTTGCTGGCACTTGATAGAATTGAAAACTACTTGATACAGTAAAAAGCATTTCTATGAGATACAGATATGCCTTTTGTGACAATATCTCTTCCTTTGTTATAATATCTCACCTACAGCTTCATGGTCAGAAATACATTTCTTACAACCAGCTAATAAAGGAGGAAAGAGCCTCAGGCTTGGCTCACAAATGGATTGTCTGAATATATACATGGCAAGAAAAAATTTGACTAATGCTGCAGCTTAATGCCTCTCAAGGATAGCCATAGACTAACGGTGGAGGAAATCTTCATAAACCAATAATTTGGGAGCAATATACCTAGCTGTCCAATTTGAATGTTGGGAAAAATAGCTTGCTATGCAAGATAAGAATATGTGTAGAATAATGATTGTTGTAGGAAGCTTCACTAAATTTCTAGAAACAAACAACCTCCCAAGACTGAATCCTGGAGAAATTAAAACCCTAAAAGACCAATATTAAGTTCCAAAATAGAAGCAGCAATAAATATCTACCAGTCAAAAAACCTAGACCAGCAATAAATATCTACGAATCAAAAAATCTAGACCAGTTTCACAGCCAAATTCTACCGGACATACAAAGAAGAGCTAGTACAAATTCTACTGAAACTATTCCCAAAAATGAGGAGAATGAAATCCTCCCTAACTCATTCTATGAAGCCAGCATCTCTTTGATACCAAAACCTGGCAAGTGAAAGTTTATAGCTACAAGTGCCTACACCAAAAAAGTAGAAAAATTTGAAATAACCTAGTGATGTATCTTAAAAAACTAAAAAAGCAAAAGCAAACAAATCCAAATTATTCAAAGAAAATAAATAATAAAGATCAGAGTTGTAATAAATGAAATAGAAGGAAAGCATACAATATAGAAACTCAACAAAGTGAAAAGTTTGTTTTTTGAAAAGATAAATGAAATCAACAAAACTTTACCTAAGCAAAAAAGAGAAAGACCCAAATAAATAAAATTGAGACATAAAACCAATACTGCAGAAATTAAAAGGATCACTTTCAACCATATGCCAATAAACTGGAAAATCCAGAAAAAACAAATTCTTACATACATGCAACCTGCCAAGTTTGAGCCATGAAGAAATTCAAAACCTGAACAAACCAATAACAAGTAATGAGATCAAAGCCCTAATAAAAAGTCTCACAGCAAAGAAAGTCCATGACATGATGGCTTCTCTGCTGAATCTTACCAAACATCTATAGAAGAATTAATACCAACCCTACTTAAACTATTCCAAAAAATAGAGTAACATAGAATACATCCAACTTCATTCTATTAGGCCAGTATTACCCTGATACAAAACCAGAAAGACACACATCAACAAAAGAAAACTACAGACTGATATCCTTGATGAACACTAATGTAAAAATTCTCAACAAAATACTAGCAAACAAAATCCAAAAGCACATTAAAAAATTAATTCACCATGATCAAGTGAGTTTTATCCCAGAAATGCTAGGATGGTTCAACATATGTAAATCAATGAATGTGATTCACCACATAAACAAAGTTAAAAACAAAAATTATCACTCCTGTAATCCCAGCACTTTGGGAGGCCAAGGCGGGTGGATCACAAGGCCAAGAGATCGAGACCATCCTGGCCAACATAGTGAGACCCCGTCTCTACTAAATACAAAAAAATTTAGCCAGGCATGGTGGCACATGCCTGTAATCCCAGCTACTTGGGAGGCTGAGACAGGAGAATCTTTTGAACCCAGGAGGCGGAAGTTGCGGTGAGCCGAGAATGCGCCATTGCACTCCAGCCTGGGTAACAAGAGCGAAACTCCGTCTCAAAAAAACAAAACAAAACAAAACAAAAACTATAGGATCATTTCAATCAATGTTGAAAAACACAACCATAGGATAGGAGAAAATATTTGTAAACTATATATCTGACAGGGGATGAATAACCAGACTATATAAGGAGCTCAAACAACTCTGTAGGAAAAGTCTGATCATCCAATTTAAAAATGGACAAAAGATCTTTCTCAAAAAAAAAAAAGACATATAAATGGCAAACAGGCATGTGAAAAGGTGCTCAACATCATTGATGATCAGAGAAATGCAAACCAGCACTACAAGAGGAATCACCTAACACCAGTTAAAATGGCTTATATCCAAAAGACAGGCGGTAAGAAATGCTGGCTAGGATATGGAGAAAAGGGAGCCCACTGTTGATGGGAATGTAAATTAGTACAACCACTACAGAGAATAGTTTGGAGGTTTCTCATAAAAACTAAAAATAGAGCTACTGTACGACCCAGAAATGCCATTGCTAGGTATATACACAAAAGAAAGGCAATCAGGATATTGGAGAGGCATCTGCACTCCCATGCATATTGCAGCACTATTCATAATAGCCATGATTTAGAAGCAACCTGTGTGTCTATGAACAGATGAATAAATAAAGAAAATGTGGTTCATACACACAAAGGAGTAATATCCAGCCATGAAAAAGAATGAGATCCTCTCATTTGCAACAAAATGAATAGAACTGGAGGTTATTATGTTAAATAAAATAAGCCAGAGACAGAAAGACAAATTTTCCATGTTCTCACTTATTTATGGGAGCTAAAATTTAAAATAATTAACTCATAGAGATAGAGTAATGGTTACCAGAGACTGGGAAGAATACTAGGGTTAAGGGGAAGAATGGATAATGGTTATAAAAATACAGTTAGATGGAATAAATAAGATCTAGTATTTGATGGCATGACAGGGTGACTATAACCAAACATAATTTACAGTACATACAATAACTAAAAGAGTATAATTGTATGGTTTGTAACACAAAGAAAGGATAAATGCTTGAGGTAATGGATATCCCATTTACCCTGATGTAATTATTATACATTGTATGCCTGTAGCAAAATAATTTTTAAAATTTTTAAAGAAAATATAAAATAACAATCTGATATTACAATTCAAGTGACTAATAAAAGAAGAACAAACTAAACCCAAAGTCAGCAGAAGGAAAGAAATAATAAGGATCAGAACAGAAATAAATAAAATAGAGGCTAAAACTACAACAGAAAAGAACTCAATGAAATAGCGGTTTTTCAGAAGGATAAACAAATCAACAAACCTTTAGCCAGACCAAGAAAAAAAGAAAGGACTCAAATATTAATACAATCAAAAGTGAAAAGGGAGACATTACAACTGATACCACAGAAATATAAAAGGTCATAAGAAATAAAAGTTCATCAGAGGGTTCTATGAACAATTGTATACTAACAAATTGAATAAAGTAGAAGAAATAAATTCCAAGATACATACAAGATACCAAGACTGAATCATGAAAAATAGTAAGTCTGAACAGACCAAAAATGAGTAAGAATATTGAATTATAATAAAGTTTCCCAACAAAGAAAAGCCCAGAATAGCTTTACTGATGTATTCTATCAAACATTTAAATAATTAGCAATCCTCAAACTCCTCCAAAAAATCTAAGAGGAAAAAATACTTCCACACTTTTTTTATATGGCCAACATGACTCTGATAGCAAAGCCAGACAAGAATAAGAAAAGAAAAGAAAAGAAAAATTACAGGCCAATATCCCTGATGAACATAGATGCAAGAATCCTCAATCAAATACTAGCACACTGAATTCAATAGCACATTAAAAAGATAATTTACCATGCTCGAGTGGATTTACCCCAAGGATACAAGGAGGATCAACATATATAAGTCTATGAATGTGATACACAACATTAACAAAATGAAGCTCAAAAATTATATAATCATCTAATTAGATGCAGAAATAGCATTTGAAAAATTCAACATTGTTTCATGAAAAGATTCTCAACAAAGTTGGTTTAGAAGAAATATACTTCAACACAATAAAGACCATCTCTGACAAGCCTACAGCTTACATTATACTCATGTACCCTCCAAATCTCAGGTTGAATTGTGATCTTCCATATCAGAGAGGGTGCCTAGGGGGAGGTGTCCAGGTTATGGGGGTGGATCCCTCATGGGATGGTGATGGTATCCAACCCAACCCTCACGGATGGGTTGGTATCCTACCCAGGGTAGAGTTACCATCAGACATGATAATTAAAAAGAGTATGGGACAACCCCCCACCCCCATCTTGCTCCCTCTCTTGCCATGTGACACACCTGCTCTCCCTTTGCTTTCTGCAGTGAGTGAAAGCTTCCTGGGGCTTCAGAAGCTAAGCAGATGCTGATGCCATGCTTGTACCTCCTGCAGGACTATAAGCCAAATAAACTTCTTTTCTTTATAAATTATTCCATCTCAGGTATTCCTTTATAGCAGTGTAAAATGGACTAACACAAAGCTTATTTGTGATTTATGCAACGGCCATTTTAAGGATGTGGTGGGGAAAGCCACATTTAAATATATTGGAGGTGAGGAAGACATGAGGAAAAGATGAAGACTCCTTACTGTCTCTTAAGCATGACAGGCATGCCCCTGCCTCATGGCCCCTATACATGCCATTTCCTCTGCCTGGAATGCTCTTTTCCCAGATATTCATATTTCTTTCCCCCACACTCCCTTCAAATCCTTGACTAGTATCACCTTTTCAGAGAGGCCTTTCCTGGCTAGCTATTGGAAATTCCACCCAGGGGAATTAAGAGACATTGGTCAAAAGTACAATCTTTCAGCTAAACAGGATGAATGAGTTTTGGTGATCTACTGTACAGCAGGGCAACTATAGTTCATAACCATATGTTATACCATTGCCCCTAAATATCTGTCATATCGGGGGGTCAATTGGTTCC